CGTGTGCTCTTCCGATCTCCCCAAAACCCCAAAACCCCTGAAAGCTGAATAAAATGAATTTATTGAATAAAATTAATCTCTACTGATATATTAATCTGATAAGAATAGCATGCTTTTGTTGGTTATTTTCTGATAACCTCGCTTGTCATTGCAAGCAAGTTTTCTTGAAATTCACCAGCAGTTGCAAAATCAAGTCATCTAGCAGGTAGAGATTACCCAGTTCATCAAATACTATCTCGTCATCATCTCTTGTACACATCATCTTATAATCCTCTTCATTATAACCTCCATAACCCTTTCCATTATCTGCTTAATCACTCATATTCTGATCAAAATTCGCAGAGACATTTTTGTTTTGCTCACTCTCAATAGAAAAGATTTCAAAATGCTGCTTGAGCTGCTGAACGTCCTCAGTTCTTAACCCTAAACTAGGACTGATTTGCTCTATCTTGTTCATTATTTTAGGTAGGTTATTTTGGTGCAGGTTAAGCATGCACATCTACGTAATCAAATCTGAAATGTCTGGGGCTGTCTGGACTGAGTTTTATTGATTTTAGTTTAGGTCCATCTGCTTCTGAAATAATAAATAAATAATTATAAAATTTTAGTCAGTTTAATAAATTAAATACTATAATCACTCAATAAACATCATTATAAGCACAATTATTTTTATAGAGATTATATTCCTATTTTACATCCAATCATACTAGATTTTGATACATCATTAAGGATTTAGGAACTTAGAAAGAGTCTGTTATCTATTTTTACTGGTACTTCTCTCTCTTGCATTAAAAAGCACATTATTTTGGAGATACTTAGTCAAAATGTCATTCTTCTTTTATTAGTGCTGTGGACCTCCTCTCAAGCTGTCCCTTTCTCTCTAACTCTAAATCTTCTTTTGCAATTCTTACTTTTCTTTCTACACTTCCGATGTCCTCAGTGACTATCTCGTTTCATGTGTAATCTCCTTCTGCTTATTAACCAGTTTTTGCTTTTCCTTTAGCTCCATTTTCTCAAGAATTTTGAGATAAACTTATTCTTCCATTATCTAAGACTTCTTTTGCTTCATCATTTCGTCTTGCTTCTAAGTAATTTGACTTTTCAAGTAGTTTGATAGTTGCAGCTCTTTTTTCTACTAACTATTCCTGCCTGTATTATATGAAGTGCTCTAGTCTGATTACTTTGACATGTACGCAGATTAAATAGGATCACCAGTAAAAGTGTTTACAAAATCACCATGAGTTTTCTCAATCCTCTGAATCAGTTTGAGTTTCTCCTGTTCTCTTTTGCTCTGGTGTCTCCCTATCTCTTTCTTGGTAATATCTTGATTCTTCTATCTTTACTTTTATTTTTAATCGTGCACCACTTTCATTGGGTCTAGCCCCAAACACTCTTCAAAACTTAGCTTCCCTTCAAGAGCATTTCTACTTTAGCTCCTTGAATTCATGTTTTAAAATTATTAGGAGATAGTATGCCTTCTAGCATTTTCAAGTAGCTCATTCTTATACTAATTAAGTGCTTTTGTATAGTCGATTGTCAAGCAATCTACGAAAGAACCACTAGCTTTACTACTATTGTTAGATCTTGATTAAAACTGATTATATATGCTTTAAGTTTGCTTCTATCTCATAGATAACTCATCCTCAGCTTTTAAATCTCTAGTTTTATTGAGGAACATTGATCTATCAATTGAATTTCTATGTGAATGAGATATAACATCTCCATTTGACCTTCTAGCATTATCAGGTCTTTTCTTTTGTGCAAGTTAATGGATCGAGCTTGCTTTACTAGGATCATTAGTGTGAAATTGATTGTTTAGAACATGATCAACGCTAGTGTGATTTTTCCTTGCTGAAAGCTTTGTTCTTTGACTAAGTGGAGGCTTAGAAGCCTAATTTTGTTTCTCAATTACTGGAAAATTTGATAATGAATTGTAAAAGCTTTACTAAAAGTCAGCTATCTTTTCATCGCCAAGCGTAACAAAGCTTTAATTCTTAGGATTACCAGAGTGTTTCCTCGATTCTGATTTTTTTTCCATGGATGTTATCACCCCATGAGTTCCAAGAACTGTAACTTAAGTAGCTTATCTTTCATTAGATTTCTATATTTAGCATAAGATTGCTGTTTAATTACAAATGATCTGTCATAAGAATTATACGAAGATTGGAAATGCTCGTCTTTATTTTTGATAGGCTAATTCAACACTTCATTTGACATGAAAGTAGGAGAAGGCTTTCTCATTGTTGGCTTCTAATCATTTGAGTGATCCTGCATCCCTATGATATCTCTTCTTTCATTCTCTTAATAATATTATGCTACTTGATCTTACATCTTTTGACTTAGTCAAATCCTTTGAAATTTACATTATTCATTTCACTATCGAAATCTAGCTTCCTCCTTACTTATTTATTCTAATTATCCTCTACAAGTTCTTAATTCATCAAATTAATACCTTTTTCTTTTTCTCTTGCAGTTTAAAACTAATTCCTGAGAGCTTTGATAAATTCAGGAGAACTATCATTCCATCAGACTACCTAATTCTTCATAAGAGATCCAGAAGACTATTCCGATGTCAATGACGGACTTCTATCTTAACTTTATCTCCTTGCTCTTTGCAAACTGTAGTAATAATCCATTAAAATTTAATACTAAATTTTTATTTTACCTGGATTTTGAATAAATTCAATAGTATGGGGTTTTGGGGTTTTGGGGTTTTGGGGGTTTTGGGT